CTCCCTGTTCTGCTGGGGGGGTCCAGCAAAGCCGCTGGCCCCCCCAAGCAGACCAGGGGGACAGAAGCAAAGCCGCCCAGGCAGCGGGGGTCCCGCCGCCTGGGCAGCTTTGCTTGGGTGTCCCTGGTCTGCTGGGGGGGTCCAGCGGCTTTGCTGGACCCCCCAGCAGACCAGGGGGACCAGGAGAAGCTTTTCTCGCCCCGGAGGACACGGGTGGCGATCCGCCGCCCGTGAGCTCCGGGGCGAGAAAAGCCCCATTCGTAAGTGCAGATCTGACATAAGTCGGATCCACGTAAGTCGGGGACTGCCTGTATTAGTTTTATTTAGGCTGGTTGGAGTCAGATTACCTCTTTTAATTGGGGTATTCTTCAGATAAATTCACTCTGATACTGGGAGGACGGAGGTTATGTAAGTACATAAATACTCAGAAATTGCCCTCTAATCCAACTAAATATTAGGATGTTATGCTCTGTTCAGGATATTGTGCATGCACAGCTTTGCTGTATGCTCTTAGGAAAGGGCATTTCTCCCCTGTTGAGATCAGCAGAGCCAGAGAAAAGGAAGGGAGAAATAAATGGGGCAAATGGGGAGAAAGAGACAGAAAAGGGGAGAAAGAAAAAAGTGTGAGCAGGATAAGGAAACAAAAAGGTAGTGGTAGAAGAGAGGAAAGTTGGACAAGAGAAGGGCCAGCTGTAGAAGGAACTTCCAAGTAATATTTACTCCAAATACAGACTTCACTCCACTGAAAAAGCAGTGATGTGTGGACACATTCCCAGTAGACAAAATGTAAAGCAAAGAAATGGGGTCCAATACCACATCCATACATTCACTGAAGAAACTAGTATTATTTCTGAACTCTACAATAGGTGAAAATTTACTTCTCACTTGAACCAATATTACTATATTTTTTGGACCTTCAATGGAAAGTTTTGTCATTTTGCTTCCATACATAGAAGAAACTGAAAATACCATGATGTCTCCACTCATTAACCACTGTGGGGCAGCAAAGCAGCACAATTAATTATGTTGAATGACTGCTATGTTTATCAGTTGAAAATGAGTCATCAAAAAAGCTAGAGGGACATCTTCTGGATAATCATTATGATGTCAGCAATTCCCATGCCAAAAAGGAAAATACTGACAAACATGAAATGAATGACACTTTAAATTATTTGCAAATCAGAGTTAAAGTGCAGTATGGAAATGAAGATGTTAAAAAGCCCTCACAATTAAATGTTAAATTCTAAAGTAGATTTTAAAGGAGAAAACCAAAACAAAATTCTCAAATAGTTTTTGTATAATTCCAAATAAGTTAACCTAAGGTTTTCACTTCATAAAGCTTACCAAAAGCTATGAGGGTCCCTTAGTTCACCTTAGATTTTTAACTCACCTGGAGAACATTTTGAAATAGCAAAACACACCTTTACTTTATTATTTAACCTCTTGGGGACCAATTGTCCCATAATGCCCCACTGCAGGCAAGTGGGAATACTGGTTTCTGGCATCCAGAGATTAATTATAATACAGGCAATAGGTAGTTTCATAGGCCCTGAACTACTAAAAACCATCTTTGTGTACCTACAGCAATCATACCTAAAGAAAATCAGTTTATAAAAGGGAAAGAAGGGGAACCAGTGTTTGCCTGCTCATCTCACAGAGATGTTGTGAAAATCATTTAACATTTGTATAGCACATAAAAGTCCTCTGTGCTATTTATTATTAAAGATAGACATACTTACCCACATAATTTAAGAATATCACACGTAGGTTCTATGAAAGCCTCTTGGTCTTGAATTTTTTCTGCACAGAGGTTAAGAATTTTAAATATGTGTGCTAAATCCTTAAGAGGCTTTTAATGTTCAATAGTTAAGGAAATTAGAATTCCTGAGAACGAGGGAAAAAACTTTATTTCTTGTACTATATTTTCTGAAAGAAATACACTCATCCAATACTTTCAGATTTGGCTAACTAAAATTAGGCACATAAATCTCTATTTAGGTACAGCAACTATAAGTGGCCTGATTTTCATGTGTGTGAAGCACTTGAGCTGCAGAGCTCATTGAGCTCACTAGGAGTTGAGAGCACTAAACAACCTGACAAGCACAGCTAAATATGGGTTTATATGCCTAACTTTAGGCACTCAAGTTTGAAAGTGAACCAAACACAAATTGTGAGCTAATCTTTATTCCCACTCTCACCAGTAATTTCTACATATTTGTCGCATAAGACTAGTACTGTTAATATATATGTAAAGTATCCAACTACTTAATCTGGGCTTGGTTTTATTTCAATATCACCTTATGCCCCACTAGTCATTGTTATTCTCATCTGCTTTTCTTAGATATTAATAGTTATAGTATGTAGAACCACATCTGTGATCTGTAAAAGCTGAAATTACATTTAAATTTGTAAAAAGGTTATCTAAATTTTTCTGTTACTGCATACAAAGATTTTTTTCTATGCTATTTTGAAACAGGTAGTCCCAAACATACAAATAATATTTCTTATCCAAGCAACTCTAGCAATGATAAGTGTGAATAGGCCTTCTATAAGACAGTGATTAAAATATAAATGAATCCCTGCTGCTATCAGGGAAAGCTATACGTCTATGTGAAATATAGCTGATGATAGGCAACTTTGTGAAAAGTCAAAATATTTAAAAAAATATAAAACACCACATCCATTTTGTACTATAGTTTCCATAGAGGAGGAGGAAAAAAAGGATACAAGCCCATTCTCATACCGCTTCACCACTGTCTTGAGAATATCTAGCTGTCTTTCCTCATTATTCTTAAAAAGAAATAAAAAAACCCCAAAAACTTAAGTTAAGTTGCAATGTGTCTTAAATAATCTTGGTCTATTTCCTTTTGAGTTCTAATGCAAGAGGAAAAAAATCTCTCTCCATATATAAAAAAAGTTTCCTGTTGGACGACAGAGTGAGGTCATCACGTCAGTCTGCGTCTCACAGCCCCTCCCTCAGCTGCCCTATCTCCTCCCGCCCTCCCTGACACTTGGTGGGCTGGAGCCACGTGGCCTCCCCCCCGCCAGGGGGCTGGGAGCCGCATGCCCTCTGAGGGAGGAGCAGAGTGGGACAGTGGGAGCTGTTTCTTGAGTGACTCCTGAGCTTTATAAGCATTCTCCCTCCACCAATTCAAGCCCCTAGAAAAATGTTAGCAGTTAACATGAGCAATTGCATACATGCTGACAACTTTAAATAATTCTAGATGTTCTAACGATTCATAGTGGTAGATTTCACAATCTAAAGCTGTCATCTTGGACAGTCACTTGCACAATGACTCAGTGTCATTTACCCACATTGATTCTATAATCTACACATTTGCATCAATTTTTGGTAAAATCCACATTTAGACATATGAATTAATATTTAACATAAATTCTTATTCATAGTTTCTTTACACTGAATATCTTCGAGACATATACTATAATTTTAACAAAATAAATATTCCACTTTGGGAATTTGTAGTCCCGAATACTAGGACTCAATATCTGGCTATTCTAGTTTTATTTGTGTATTTAAAACATATGTTTTATTATAACCCGTATAAAATGTGACACAGGCCTTTTTCCTCATGTTATACTTACTGAATTGGAATCTTCAAGTAGTTTTATGACACGATTAAGATCCACAAACTTCAACTGAATGCCCTATAAACAAATACAGTTCTTAATTTTTTCAATATTTAAAAATGCTAAAGTTGTACCATCTTAAATCTGAACAAATAGGGACCTAGACTTTGAGGCTATAATTCTAGTGAGGGATGCTCATATCACAGATCATGAGACTCAGGCTTTATCTATATTGCAGGGTAAGTTGATGTAACGTACACAACTTGTTTTGTCTCAGAGCGGTAGTTGTGTTAGTCTGTATCTATAAAAACATGGAGAAGTCCTGTGTCACCAAGACTAAAACAGATTTATTTGGGCATAAGCTTTCATGGGTCAAAACCACTTCATCAGATGCATGAAGTGGAAATCACAAAGCTAGGATATAAAAACCACACAAGCATATCACAAGAAGCATATCCTATCAAGCGTAAGACCAGTGTTAACAGCGCCAATTCAATTAGGATGGATATGGCTTACTGCTAGCAGTAGATGGGTAGGACTGAATATCAAGAGAAGAAAGATTGCCTTTGTAGTGAGATAACCATTCTAAGTTCTTATTCAGTAGTAATTTGAAGAAGGACTTAGAAAGGTTCTCACTACAAAGGCAATTTTCCCTCTCTTGCTATTCACACCTCCCCATCAGCTGCTGAGTGAGATACATCCACCCTGAATGAATTGGCCTCCACTTGATGCACAACTCCTTTCTTTTGACATACGAGCACATCTATATAACCTGCCTCTATAATTTCCACTCCAATGCATCTGATGAAGTCCCGCTCTGGCCCAGCTGCTGGGAAAAAGCCATATTCATTCTAACTGAATTGGCATTGTTAACACTTGTTTTATGCTTGACAGTAACCCCTTCCATTTGATATGCTAGAATAGATATTACATAGCTATATAGATTTAGCTATACAGATATCCCTGCCTCTGTGATTTCCACTCCATGAAACTGATGAAGAGGTTTTGACCCACGAAAGCTTATGGCGAAATAAATGTTAGTCATTGTGGGTACGTCTACGCTGCAGTGTTATTTTGAAATAATTAACAATTTCAAAATAACAGGCTTCTTATTCTGGAATAAAAAACCCTAATTTCAAAAGGAATAACACCTATTTTGAAATAGCTATTTCGAAATAGAATGTGTGTGGATGGCACAGCTGTGGTTATTTTGAAATAATTGGCCTCTAGGGCTTCTCAGTTGCCCTGGTGGCCACTCTGTCCACACTCTCAGAACTCTATAGTTTCCCTTCCCCTGCAGGCTTTAAAGGTGCAACCACAGGGGAAACAATTTGTGGCACTAGGAAGGCCCTGATAGCCCTGTGCCACACAGCACCACCCTTGTGTGCAGCAATGCCTGACCCCAGTCCTCCCACTGATTCCCCAAGGACTGCTAGTGAGCTGGCAGCCAGCTCCGAAGCCCCTGCCCAGGGGCAGGAGAAGAGGGCCCCTCCTTGGTCTGGTGTGGAGATTCTGGGTTTCAGTGAGGTCTGGGGAGAGGAGACTAACCTCCAGGATCTCCGCACCAGATGCATGAACACTGATGTGTATGGCTGGATGGCTGCAAGCCTGTGCCAGAAGGACCACATGAAGATCAAAGAACTGAGACAGGCCTACACCAAGGCCAGGGAATGCAGTTCCTGATCAGGTCAGCACCCCAGACCTGCTGCTACTTTGAGCAGCTGCACCTCATCCTGAGAGGGGGGTTGGTCCTTTCCCCCACCCCTTGTCATGGACTCCAGCCTGGAGATGCTTGTCATCAGCCTCCCAGAGGGCAGGACTGCACACCAGGAGGCGGAGGAGGAGATGGTAGAGGAAGACGAGGCCAGCCAGAACATGATGCCTTCCACCCAGAAGGTCATTCTGTCCCTGGAGTTAGTACCCCCCTCCCAGGATGTCACCCAGGGTTTGGATAAAGTCCATCAGGTGAGTTCCATTACTTTCCCTTGACCCATGCAGGGAGAGGTGGTGGGCAGTGTGGGGCGCATGCTCTTGCAGGGAGCAAGCGCAGTGAGGTGGAGAACACCGAGACCCTTGCATGGGAACTTGCCGGGGGGAGAAAATGGAGGGAACTCCAGCAGCACTCTCCCCAGCAAGTGGGCCCCCTGCCACTCGCACACACCTTCCCCAGCATCTTCCCCCTGCCTCTTCCAGCAGGAAGGGACAGAAGTCCGCTCCCTGTGGGATGCCACCATTGCCAGACCAGTGTGTGTGCAGCACAGAGGGAAGGCTAACTACCCCATTGCTCCCCTCCTGCCTGCAGGCTCCTGCCCTGGTTGGCAGCTTCCCATGTCTGCTTGTCCCCAGGGCATGGGGCTAATTAGGCTCCCTGGGACATCTGTGCCCCTGCAGGACAGTGCGCACTGTCCAGGCCACAGATTGCCTTGCTCAAAGCACATCTCCATCGTCTGAACTGAGACCTTTCGGTGTTGGTTCAGAGATAAGGGCTAGGCTTCAGGCATAGTGTCTGCTGGGATCACTGCCCTTCTGTTTGTTCTTCACAGCTGAACCAGCTGTGAGTAAGGCGTGTCCATCACCTCCTGCACCAGCCCCCCAACACCACGAGAGCTGCCACCGCAGATGACCCTGCGATAACCTGGAGTGGGAACATGTTACCTGCCTGCATGCCCTGCAGCAGTGTATTGAGCAGCAGGAGCAGCAGTGGGATTCCAACTTGAAGCTGCACCACATCATCCGGCAGGAGCTATCCCACCAGACCCAGAACATGTGCATGGCATACACTGCTACTGTCGACTGCATGCTGACCATGACTGAGCAGTCCTGCAGCTTCTGACCCTGCCCTTGCCTCTGCGGCTTCTCCCCCTAACCTCTCCATGGCCTCTGAGGGCCCTGCACACGAGGCAGTGGGACCACCTGAGGCAGGTGCCAGTCCTAGCCCCATCCCTGAGCTCTCCCTTTCCCCTCCCACCCCTTCCTCTCTTCTCTCAAGTTCTTTCCCAAGTTATATTATCACAAATAAAAGAAAACAGTTGACCCTGCCCTTGCCTCTGCGGCTTCTCCCCCTAACCTCTCCATGGCCTCTGAGGGCCCTGCACACGAGGCAGTGGGACCACCTGAGGCAGGTGCCAGTCCTAGCCCCATCCCTGAGCTCTCCCTTTCCCCTCCCACCCCTTCCTCTCTTCTCTCAAGTTCTTTCCCAAGTTATATTATCACAAATAAAAGAAAACAGTTGATTTTTTTTAAATGAAGAAGTCTGGTTTATTGTATCTGTAGGAGAGGGAGAGGAAGGTGGGAAGAGAATGCAGGGTAAGGGAGGAGCGGGGGAAGTAAGGCACACAGGGGAGGCCCAAGGGAGTGTGTCACAGATGACCTTGGCTGAAACATTTCCTCAGGGCCTCCCAGATGCACACAACCCATGATGGGCCTGCACAGCTGCTCAAAAACCCTGGCCAACTGCTCGGCCTCTGCTCCTCACCCTGGAAGGAACATCTCCCCTTTGTTTTCACACAGGTTGTGTAGGTCACAGTAGGTCGACACATAGAGGAACATTCCATTCTCCAAAGTCCAGGCAGGTGACGAGACAGTGGAACTTCCCCTTCAAATGGCCTCCACCACGATGCGAGACCAGCTGAGCCTGGCTTTGATTCGTTTTTTGGTGGGGTCCAGGTGTCCTATTTAGAGCTTCATTAGCTACAGGAGCAAGGTGTAGGCTGTGTTGGCCACAATGCACATAGCCATGTCCACATCCCCGACCCTGATGGTGCGGTCGGGGAAAAAAGTGCCAGCGTGCATCTTCTGGTAGAGGCTGGAGTTGCAGAATATGTGGGTATCATGCACTTTCCCTTACCATCTGATCTTAATGTCGGTGAAGCGGCCTCAATGGTCCATGAGGGCCTGCAGCATGATTGAAAAGTATCCCCTCCAATTGATGTAATCAGAAGTCCAGTTGTCAGGGGGCCCAGGTGAAGATGTGAGTACCATTAATGCTCCCCCTGCAGTTGGGGAAGCCCATGGTGGCAAAGCCGGTGATGATGGGGTCAACATCACCCAGGATGATGACCCTGCACAGCAAGATGGTGCTGATGGCCTTCATCACCTGTAGAAGGATACAAATAGAGAATCACAGGGTTGCCAGAGCCCTTGGGAATTCCCCGAGCTTAAACTCCTTCCCACAGCAAGAACAACCCCAAGTACCCTATCCCCTACAGGGCTCTGTGAAGGCGGGACTGAAAAACCTCCAGAGAAGGACAGTCCACTTCCCTTCCCCAGGGAATCCCATTCAAGTGCTTCAGGACTCTGCTGAGACAATAGTAAGAAAGTCATACGTGCATGAGTATTGCCCCGATGGATGATCTCCCCACGGCGAACTGGTTCCCAGCGGAGCAGTAGCTGATCAGTGTGGTGAGCTTCCTAATGGTGATGGCAACACACTTCTGGTGGGTAATAGGAAGTCACATGTGGACAGTAGCAAGGCTCCAGGAAGGTGTCCCTTTGCATGCGAAACCTCTGGAGCCATGGCTGGTTATCCCACTCCTCCATATGATCTAGTCCCACCATTCAGAACTGGTTTCCTGGCACCAGAAGCGGAAGTGCACGGTGTGCAGGGAAGAGTAGGTGGCGTTCCAGAGTGAGCTTCTGATCCTGGTCCTGTGGTGCCATGTGGGCACCCTGCAGTAACTGCGCCAGGAGGTGCAGCATGAGGTCTAAGAACTGTTGAGTGCCTTGCAGCATGTCCGGCTCCATGGAAGAAGTGCTGTGGCTTCCACAAGGGCAATCAGAGCATGCAGTGCGAAAAGTTTGCTGTTCCTTCAAGTAGGCAAAAGTGACATCTGAGACATGGCTGTAGAGGGGAACCCCTTTAAGCATGAGTCTCAGATAGCCTCAGGCATGAGCTTGTGGAAGTGACTGCTGTCCTGATGCCCTGCCCAGAGTGATTCCAGGGGCTTTAAACTCAATTCAGCCTCCAATCAGTGTTGACACACTACTTCAACATAAATCTGCGCTATTTCGATGGGCATTTGTAGTGTGGATGAGCTATTTCAAAATAGCTATTTTGGGAGTTATAATTCTTAAATGGTTTATCCTGAAATAAGCACGTAGTGTAGACATACTCAAAGGTGCCACAGGACTGCTTGCAACTTGTTACATAACATAAGTCAACACAGTATTGATTTAGTGCAGTTTAGATACTGAGCTACATCGGCAGAAGACACTCTCACATCAACATTGCTTCTGCTTCTTTTTGAGGTGAAGTACTGCAATTGACAAGAGAGCCCTCTCCCACTGACTTAACGTGTCTACACCAGACATCATGAAATCAATACTTCTCAACTGAGTGCAGCAGCATTGATTTAGGCTGCAGTGAAGACAAGCACTGAGTCTCTAGTGGTTTTGAAATGACATTAATATGCCTTACAATTAAAAAAAACCCCAAAACTTACTTTTCTTCTGATTTCATATAGATGTCTAGATAAGAGTTCCAGACTCCTGTTTGCATAACCTCTACCCATAACACTTCTTCAACCTGTCTTGCTGCACTTCACGGCTGTCATTCAACAATTAACTTGTTGCCTCATTCTTATTCTCCATCACTGAACAGCTATTTTTTATTAGTTTCATGTCTTTAGAGTCCGATCCATTTAAATTAATGGGAATCTTTCCATTGACGTCATTGGGCTTTAGATCAGCTCCTTGGTGAGCATTTCTGTAATTAGTTCAAATGCTTTTAATCTCCAAGAGTTTTAGTCTCTGGCAAC